ATAAGTGATTGAAATGAACGAAAGTTATATAAGTTATATAAGTTATATAAGTTATATAAGTTTTAAAATATTCTAAAATATGTCCCACGGATTTTAAGTAAATCTCAAATCAAAGTTATAATTAAAAATCGAAGTTATAATCAAAAATCAAAGTTACAATATTGATTATTTTATTAGTACGGAACGGAATTTGCGATTTTAATTATAATAGTTATATTTGCGTACTTTTTACGCAAACAGTCTCGCAACTTTTGCGAGAATCACTCCGCTTAGCACAGCGAAGTATCTTGCTTCGTTACTTCAACGAAGCATCAGTTCGCAATTTTTTTGCGAAAATTGTTTATCGAAAACGGAACGGAACGAAAAAGCAAAGTTAAAAACATATTGAAAAATTCGATATATCTACACATTTGAAATCTAAATTAAAGTTAAGTAAAACGCGATCAATCAAAATTTCTACGTAAAACGTTTTTCGTACGTGTACTTTATTATCTTTCACGAAATGGATTTTATCAATTATACTTAATAATCACGTATACTCGTATAATCAAAACTAAAAATCGCGTTAATAGTATAACGTAAGTTTAAATTAAATAAATATGTTATTCTTTCCCGATATACTTTTCGATAGTTTCTAAAATATTTAACTTTATCGTAAAATTCTCGCGGAAAATCTACTCTTTAATCGATATCAATAAACAACAAAAAGTGAAAAAATGGCAAGTTTTAAATAAAACAATTCGCGAAGTCTAAAATCGCGTACACGACCGCGATCGCGTTATTTCCTCGCACTTGCGAGGTTCAGGGCGTCGATTTCGACGCAAGGCGAACTAAACGTTCGTAATTTGTTAAAAATGAGAAGTCGTCGAGAAAAAACCGGTATAAAATCATTACATTACGGTATTAAATAATTACAGAAAATAACCATTATATGAAGCAATTTGAATTGGTTTGAAAAGAGTAGTATATCAATATATCTCTTTGATAATGATATAAAAAATAATATATGAACAATATCTTTATTATTCTGAATATTATATATATATATATATATATA